AGGCCACCTTTGTGCCCTTAAAGAGCTCCTGTGACTGATAGCATCACAGCCTCATCTCACAATCCCCCCTCAGCCAGCCACTGTCCTTATCCTCATCCCAGCCCTCTGTGCATAGGCACTGCCAGCACTTCCCTGTCCCCTTCACTGGGCTTGCAACCATGTGTTGTGTTTGGCCCAACCCTCAGCCCAGGTGACAGCCCAAAAAACACCACTGACACCAGCGCTGGGCAGATGCAGGGTCCTGCCCTGGCTCCCGTTGAGGCCGGCCATGGCCCCTGGCTGGTTCCTCGAGGTCCCAAGCCCCCAGCCCAAGGCTGGTTTGGGCTCAGCAAGGCATGAGCAAAATATTCCTGCCATTGTTGTTGGTGTCTCCAAGGATTACCGCCGGATCTGGCACCCCCCCGCTCACGCCCTCCTCTTCTTGCTCAGACTTGACTTTTGCAATTGTTTGCGGGATGTTTTTCCTTCCGCCTCCTCTGGCCATCAGCAGCCCAAAGCCTCTGGCAGCAGAGCGAGGGGGTGGCCTGGGTGAGGGGCTGTGTCCCTGGGCAGCCCTGCGCCCTGGAGCCCGGTCCCTGAATGGAGATGGGATTTTTGCCCTTGCCAGTCCCCTGTCACATCCCAGGGCCAGGCCAGGCGTGCACGGGTGGCGTGTGCCAGCAGCATTTGCCAGCTGACCTGGCACCTCCGGAGAGGGAGGCACCGGCTCACGTCAGCAGCCAGGGAGGCTGTTGGCACAGAGGGTTGGCAGCGGGCAAGGGTGGGGGGTGTGTGCAGGCTGCCAATCCTGCCTGCCTTCTGCTGCCTGCCTCTGCTCCCTGCCCCCTGCCTCTGCCTCCCAGAGCCTCCCATGACCCCTGCCCACCTCCTGCAGCCCCTCACAGCCTTTCTGCCTGCACCTGCTGCCAGTCATGCCCAATCTTATGCCAGGGGGCCATGCTGGGGCAGCACCCACAGGAGGTGGGGGGCTAACACCTGGGAAGGTTTGGGTGCCTCAACCACGTGTCCTGCTGCCAGGGGTCTCCCTGTGTCCCCCACCCTGGCCAAGGGCACCACTCCACACACCATGGCACCCACTGGTATAACAGAACAAACAGTCTGGTGGGCACCTCAGGGCCTGATCCTTGGCCTCAGCTCCTGTAAGGCAGGTACCAGGAGCCCAAGGACTCACATGCCCACCCTCTGCACTCTCCCAAATTGTAACACTGCTGTGGTGGTGCCTGGCCCTGCTCCAGCTGCTCCTGGGCCAGATCCTGCCAGCGCCAGCAGGCTCCAGCACAGCCTGCCCGTGCCAGTGCGGGTGTTTGTGGTCCTGTTTGTGGTCCTGCCACTGTGTTTGCACTGCACACAGCCCCGTGGTTTGTTTGCAGAGGGCTGAGGGGGCTGTCACGGTGATGGTGGCCCTGCCATCTCCCCATCCCTGGCAGGGTGCTGTGGCTGTGACCACATCCATCTGCTCCCCAGCCACAGCCCACACAGGTGCCCTCTGTCAGGCTGCAGCCCTGACACCTTCCTGGCCCTTGTCATCACACCCTTACTCCCCTGCTCTGGATTTGCTCAGCGGTGCCACATCCTTCCCCAGCCATGTCCCCACATCCGCTTTCCTAAGGAAGAGCTGCACAGCACCCTGGCAAAGTCACTGATGCTGCCACCAGCTCTTCAGGATTGGCCCTGCCATCGCCTCACCAATGCCTTGCAGGGTGCAGGTGGGACAGGGGACACGCTACTCCCCAGGAACAGCCTTGTCCATGTGGGTCACCCGGAGCAGGCAGGTGGGTCCCCTGGTCCCAGACCCAGGTGGGCAGCTGGATGTGGCAGGACCCAGCCACAAAGGGTCCCGTGGGGCTGACCCTGCTGTTTTGAGATGGTTGTTTTGGGCTTGGCTCCTGTGTATTGGTTTGTGGCCAGTTTAAACCAGTTCACAGCTTTTATAAGGTGTGGGATGAGTGGGATCCTGTGAGTGCCAGAGGGAACCCAGGCCTGTGGCTGCCAGTGCCGGTGGCCATGCGAGCCCACATGCCCGGGGCGGGTGGCACAGCTCTCCAGGAGGCAGGGACCTGCTCACAACCCAGACCAGACTGGAGCAACCCCAGAGCTCCCTCCCAGGCTTTGAGCTGCAGCATCTTCCCCTCCAGGATGGCCCCAGCAGCCAGAGGAGCTGGTGCTGCCCCACAGCAGGATGGGGGGGATGTCACCTGCCCGCTGCTCTTCATCCAGCTCAACCAACTCCTCAGTACCCCACAGGGACTGGAGTGGAGGGAGATGGCCAGGTAGGCAAACCTGCGAGGGCCACGCTATGGGAGCCCAGCCTTCCAGCTCAGCTGGAGCCCGGGGCATCCCCCAAAGCCGGTGGTTCCTCAGCCTCATCCTCAAAGCAGGGCTCCGGTGCCCGCGCTGGGCTGACTCACTTCATGGGAAAGGGCAGGGTGTCAAGCAGGGCGGGCAGTGACCCTGCGCGGGCACAGCGCCCTTCCTCCTGCTCCTCTCCGCTGCCTCTCCAGGGCTCCAGCAGCCGCGCCAGGGCTGGGATGTCCCGTACCCCACAGCACCCCTCCTCTGCTCGGCAGGGGCACAGGGACGCAGGCTACGGGGATCTGGGAGCAGCAGTGCGTCTTCCCCCGGGGTCGCAGTCTGCGAGGGGTGCCAAATCCGCCGGGCTGTGGCTCTGCCCAGCCCCC